TCTTGACTCTGTCGCAGATATTCTCGAACACCACGCGCTTTGGAATCATCGGTGGGGATATACACACACAGACACGCTGCCGTATCTGTACTATGCACTTAAAGCGCATAAATCGCCCCCTGGGCTTCGCAGTATTGTCGGCGTCACAGAGCGGAACAATCTCTCTCTGCCGCAGCGATCTCGATCAATGGCGCCATCTGTTCATACAGTCCACCATCGACCTCCCCACAAACCCTTGGCCAGCACTACCGTCGCTTTTGCCCGCCTCAACGTTGCATTACAAGGAGTCATTGAGACTCTCCGTGAGAAGGATAATCTGTTATATCAGCAAAGCGGTGTGAGACGGTGCTAGATCGTGCAAAGAGCTGAGGAGGTGATGCTTGATCTCAAACGTAATTCATCTTCTCTTCGTGAGCATGCTCCTCGCACTATTGATTTCACAACTACGTATACCAATCTTCCTCATGACCGTATTTGTCATAATGTATCAAAAGCGGTTGAGGAAGCCTATACATATGCCTTACAACAGCACACACAGGGGCGCACACATCCTCCTACCCTTAACATGATTGTTAAAGGGCCCCGTCAAGGGGAGTGGACGGTTGATACCAGACCCAACACCTTGACCGTTTTCCAAATTCTTGAACATCTCCATTTCATTGTCACAAACACGTATCTTTATGCAGCGGACGGCACCTTGCGACATCAACTGATTGGCATCCCGATGGGGACTAATTCTGGTCCGGAGATAGCTAATTTGACGTTGTATTGGGATGAGGCTCGATTTGTTGACGACCTCCAGCAGCGTGATCTTCACGCAGCTCAATGGTATACGTTCACATACCGCTTGATCGATGATGTTCTCTTATGGGGACATCTGCCACCACCGTTAGAGCATTATGGCCTTGAATGGAAGGAGACCTTAGCGCCTAATGGCTCTTGCACATTCTTGGGTGCATGTCTCCAAGTCCGCCTTGACGGTTCTCTGCGTATGAGTGTCTTTGACAAAGCAGCTAATGGAATTTCCCTGTTATTCGTTATCCTAGTGCTACGTCTAATGTCCCTGCACACGAGCCGGCGGGAGTGTTTACAGGCCAGCTTACTAGGTTCGAGTATGTTTGCAACAACTTGTATGACTTCAAAACTGCAGCAGCGATGCTCACACGCCACATGCTTTTTCGCGGGCACTCTACAACAACGCTTGCGAAAGGATGGACTTCCTATATTCGTAAACGTCAACACGGGTACCCTGCCCACGTGACCCGCCTCTCCAGCTGGTTCCGCAGCATGCTTCGATGGTATATTCATCACCCGCTTTCTCGGGTGTCCACACACTGTCCTCGGACTACGCCTGTAACAGCCCTTTCTTCATTACCGGCACCTGTCACACCTATCACAGCCTCTTCTTCATTACCTGCGTCTGCTGCACCTGCGTCCTCATCAATCGTAATGACCCCTTCCATGCCGTTTGTGACCCTGGCTACCCCTTTTCGGTTCGCAGCCTCTTCCCCATCGGCCTTGGTTGCTTCTACGATTGATTCCGCGAGAGCAACTCGACCCGCAACTGCTGTGTCGCCCTTGGTCTCGGTGTGTTCTTCCATGGCATCCGTGGCCACCACGGCTGCTGTGTCGCCCTTGGTCTTGGTGTGTTCCTCAATGGCATTCGTGGCCACCACAGTTGTTGTGCTGCCCTCGGTCTTGGTGTGCTCCTCCATGGCATCTGTGGCCATGCCTGCATTACCACCTGCAGAGTCCCCTCTTCGGGTCTCACTTGCGACTGCCCCCCTTGTGTCCGCTTCAGCCACTTCACAACCCCTGACTTCATCCTTCCCATCTTCACCACCTTTACTTCCCCAGGTTTTATCTCCGTCTGTTACCCACCTTCCGACTACTGTACCGCCGCTGTCTTCACCACTCCTACCTCCCCTGGTTTTGTCTCCATCCGCTACCCCTCTTCCTAATCCACAAACCACCTTGTCCACACAGACTCCGTCATCATGTTCTTCCCCTGCAGAAAGCCCACTTCACCGTCCTAGACGTCGGTTTCGACCTACTTCCCAACCTCACCTTACTCCCCTTTCCTCCATCTCTATTCTTGGACGAAGAAGAACCCGTTCATTCT